TACGAAATAAAAATATATTAAGATGATTCTAATTCAAAATAATGCTTTCATATGACTTCAAAAGTAACTAGTTAGATCACGATGCATCAGTTTATTGATGGTGATAATGGCCAATAATATTCTTGTATTCAAAAGATATTTCATTAAACTTCTCCCAAAATCTACTCGTCTAATTAGTCACTCGACACTTGAAGAATATTTCAACAGCTAAATAGAATTTTGAAGATCGAAAAATCGTAAATTTCTAAATTGTACCAAACAATCACACTTAGTTTGATTTACAAAAGTAATCATTTTATTGATGTTCTCAAAAGTTTTCGCTTTGAAAAATAATTCATCATTGACGTGCGTGGTATTTATAAGCAGGAATGCTTCGAATACCGCAAACGAGTTTTGATCGTGGTTGTATTTTTAATCATATCTTTTAATTCACTTCTGAATATTCATATTTCATCATACGTGAGTGGAAAGATCAATGCGAAGAAACAAGCAGTTTAGGGACATAAGTATCATATGTTACTATATTTAAACTGGTAATTCAGGCTCAGATTTCCAAGAGCTAAGATTTCCAATATTGTGCTCTCCTACTTTTATATTTAGGCTGAATATCTAATTAATTTATGATGAAGTTTAATATGAGAACAAACCTATAAATTTGCAAACACCCTCAATTACTAAAAGACTACACTAGATATAGTTTATCATCTGAAAGCTTTACAAATATTAACTTTCATGATGTTTCTACAATGCGATACTTATAATATTTATTCGCCATTTAAAGAATTAAATTCAGTTGAAAGCTTTCTCAAAGATAATCATTAGTAAATTTTTCCTGTATTCTATAAAACATTTAACCTTATGATGACTGTCGTGGGTTATATAAAAAATGTGAATCTTCTGCAATCGATCTATTTGGATGGTAATTGGTTGTACTCTGTTCCGTACTTACAGAAAATAATAGAATATAGGCAGAAAATCCACATTTTTTCTTAATTAACAGTAAAAAGAGTAAAAATATATATACAAACTGTAATTTAAAAACAAATAGTAACTTAAGCGTTAAAATTAGAATATCTATAGAAATCGAGTCAATTAAAATCTATTTTGTTTATTCTTAAACAAGATTGCGTCTGATTTCCACGTTCATTTGATTGATTAAATATATGCATGAGAGAATCAATGAACATTTATATAAAATAGTAACTGATAGAGAAATCTAGTTAGCTACTGAATCACTGTTTGAATTGAAACTGCATAAATAATAATATAGATTCGAATGAATTTTTACTGTCTTGAAAAGAATTCGAGTCCGTAGCTTAGTATTACGTAGTTGCTGTAATTTTATACTAGTTTTTAAAAAGTAGATTGTATTCTACCTGAGAAATATTACTGCAACTAATTTCCCAATTTGGATTTCGATGACAATAACGTGTTATGAAGCTTTCTGAGCGTTTGATTTTGTCGTCTCCAGAAAATAAGCGTTGTGAATCTAGGCTTGCATATGAGTGATGTAGAAGTTAAGCGTTTTACTATATCGGTACCTTAAGAAACGAACAACTGCAAAGTCTGACACATTCAAAATAAAATTTTCTCAATCAGGATCGTACAGATAGTTTCAAATTGGAACACAAAAAAATCTAGTTTCCACGTATTTTAGCAAGAAACTTCAATTCATAGGAAACATACTGTCATATGCGATTGATAGGGTAACGGCTTGTATCATTTTCAAATTATTCAAAGCTCATTTGTTTGCTGCATAACTCATATCGTTCTGATTCAAAAGTAATTTAATTATTAGTAGACTGCTTTTCACAAGATAATCAACAAACAATCCTATGAAGCAAAGCTTTTTTGCTTGCTGTACAGGGCGATTCTTTTCGCTCCTTCATGTTAAATAATCAGAATATATATTCTCAAAAACAATTGTGTAGATGACAATGATGGAAAAGATTAAGTTACGTTTTCAATTTTAAACTTTTGCACCCTTCTCAAGCATTCGGCGTTGAGAACTGATTCAAATTTTGCTTAGTACTTTTTATCTTTGTTATTCGAAGATTAGAATGGAAGATAGTGTACACTAATAAAAGTAGATACTCTTGGCCATTGGAACAGGGGAAAACGCGAGGTATGTCTTTCGTATTTTTTTTATTTGTCTTGAATTATATTACCGTGAATTAATCAGGAAAATGAATGATGCCTATACTAATATTTTCTGGCTATAGACGATTGTCTACGTTGTTAAATAGCATTTCTGGTCAAAACTACGATGCCGACATTCAATTGTATACTAATGAAAATTCAGATTTTATTCAATGCCTACCTTGAGTCACAATCAGTTATCATTCAATCAATTTGAAATTGATTAACTCAAAAATCTTTTATGCGAAAGAACGAATAAAAAACGTGGCTCTTGTCATCTTCTTATTTTCTTAAACATATCTGATAAGCAGTGTTGCATTGACAAGTCTTTTTTTTTTCTATAAATAATTGACTTCTAAAGCTCGAGCAGAGTCATTAGTTGTAATTATGAATGGCTCTGTCCTGTCAAAAAAATATTATATTCAAGACATAGTTAAGATATTCGAGTAAATCCTGAAGCCTGTCCATCAGTATAAAATAAAGTTCTCTAAGCTGATTCTATCAAAAATAAATAAAATTAACGTCTTATTGGTGCCTGAAAAAAAATTACCATAACACTGGATAGTCATCGTTCAATCTTCTAGCGTTTTATTTTTCTTGTAAAATGACTATGATCGAAACTATTTCAAACACTGTTTTCCTTACCATATCTAGAGAAACAAGTCATAGGCGTCATTGGGTAGAATTCAAAAGCATTCTGTACACTATTTCACATTATAGAAAATGTTCTTTTATACTTCCAACTGTTTTCTTCGCGTTATCACATTTCAGACATTGCTAGTGAATGTTGCCATTTTTAGTAGCTACTTTATATGAAATAATATTTTCATAAGAACGAATTGAACAAACTAATGGCTTCATGTAAATTAGAGATGTGCAAGTTTACTCTACCCTGTTCTGCACGATAGGGTAGGGGCAGGATATGCAATTTAATGGAGTAGAATACAATATGGTGAAAGTAAAAATCCAATAAATTAAAGTTGAGTCAGCAAAAGACAGAAATCATGAAAATTAACGTAGACGTACTTTTAGCCCAATCGTTTAGAAGGTGGCTAATTTCGAGCGACATGTCCCAACCATTATTCATTCTGTAGTAGAATGAATAAACCAACCGTAATTCAATCACAAAAACACATTAATATATTGTACTTATATAGTAATGATATAAATTCGACCGTCGGTGAAAACAATCGATTGTATTTCTTTTTTCAATTATTGTACTGGATTAACATGAATAGGCTGTAAAGTAATAGCTTCCTATAGGACAGGAATGGTTGATACTGGTAAGTTCTACCGAATGAAGAAAAATAAGAATAACAAGTCATAAAGGTACTATACTGCAAAAGTTACAGTGTATAGTAGGGTAAACAAATCTACGGATTTTGCAGGGTGTAGGGTCAGGGTAGGGTAGAACAAGGCTAAACAAAAATTCCTTTATCAGGGTGCAGGGTAAGAGAAAGGCTTACCCTGCACATCTCTAATGTAAATTACTGTTATTATTTTTAAACTATGTACTCACTTTTGTTTCTATCGACCTTTTACGAAAAAATCTTAGATGATCCCTTGCAATATGAATTTACTACTATTTTACTCTATATGCTATTTACGTATTCATTTTGTTTATTTTGTACGTTCCACTTACGTGATTCTAAAAATAAGAGTTGTATGATACTGACTTTTCATAGACAATTATTAGAAAGTTGACTGAACAGATGCAAGAAATCCTTTATAAAAATGAAAGCGTTTTTTTTGTTATCAGGTAAAAAAAGTCAAATCAAGAGTTACTAATCTTACTTGATACGTATACATGGAGTAAAATAATACAATAAATGTAACCACTCTATGTGACTCCCATAAACAAATGAAATATAAAACAAACTCACTTTATTCTTTGGTAATTTATTTATGAAAAAACATGGTGAATTGCACAATAATTTTGTTGATTTTGTTTTATTTAATCATGAACACACGAGTCAGTTTTATTGAAAATCTTTAATTTGGAAAATATCCTAATGAAGTCAAAAATAATTTTTATATTAATCAACACTTCTGTTAGAATCAACAAATTGCAATAGTTCCATTCTATTATGACCCAATTAGTATGCAATGATTTTGTATATTTAAGTAGCATATGGCATTGGCATTATCTGAGGCCAAGCGCTCAAGTCCACTTGTCAACTTATAGTAGCATACACTGATCGTGCATTAATAGATTAGACAAGTTTCACTCTTTTTTGTGCTAATACACATAGCTACTATTTTATCATTATCTCGGATATCATTTCATGCATTGCATTTTCAATCTTTTTTTCTTCTTCTTTTCTCTCGATTATAATACACGAGAATAATTTGCTTGTTTTTTTCCCGTTTCTTTGATGGTTCATAATCTGCATATTCATAAATTTTAACTACCTACCAGAAAATCATTGTATTTGACAGTTTCAAATACAATATTAGTGTAAATAACTAACGATATAAAATAAAGAAACTTACTTGACTCGAATGAGTCAATCTCTATCCAATAGTGAATGTCTAATTTATCCTCTGTCCTATTTATTCTATATTTCTTATGACATGATTTTTCTCGAATATATTTGCATGGCAACATGTTAAAAACATACACAAAAGTAACGTTCAGTCCCAAACGATGCTCTTTTGTGATAGTTGATAAGTTTTGAAAAGAAAAACGAATCTTCTGCAAATTTTATATATATTTAAATATTGCTATATACACTTCCAATCACAATTTTAATTGGTTGAATATAGAGCTAACGCTTGGAAATAGTTTATCTACTATTATTCAATATCATTTGGAATTTATTTAAAAACAAATGGCACACAAAAAATATATAGGCAAGTCTTTAGACATCATTCGTTTCTTGATCGGCACTCTGATAATTTTCTTCACTGAATGTTAGTGCTTGAAATAGACGATGCATGCTGTAAAATATACTATACATTTTCATGGATAAAAAAGAAACCAAACGTACGATTTTTTATTTGAATCATTTGATTCTAGAAAGTTATTGTTCATTAATTCTTTATCTTGTTTACTGTCATGATTCGATGTATTCAGTTTTTGTAAATCATTGAAGATCACATCAAATCTAAACGCGAATACAGTAACATAAAAAATAATTAACTTCGCTAAAAATTCGTACTGTGCTTGAATAACTGCTATGGACTTTTCAAGTGTTTGATCAACTTCTTTTAATTCTTTATCAATACTCATTAGTTGTTCATCTTAGCATAGAGAGAAAAAGAGAGTATAGCGAAGTCATATTTTCTTTTGTGAAAAAACATAAAATATACCTGATGCACTTGGATTTGCTGTTGAATCATCAGTTTTTAAACTAATCTTCAAAACAAAAATGCAGGATTTATATATATATATCACATCAAAATTAATCATTCTTTCATTCTTACATCATTAATTACTTCTAATGTTGGGCATAATTCAGATACTTTTTCAATAAAATTTTCTACTTGAGATAGAAGTGAATTGCCATTTAAATTTAATATAAAAAGTGAACTCATATGGTGAAGAACACTCTAAAAAGAAATTAAATGTTTATCTTGTGTTTCTCTCACATTTGACACAAGTGAATGCAACTTTGTAATACGATTAGTGCTAAAAACTAAGATTACTTTTCATGTTTTACGATGAAAGCTCGCAAACGATTTGAGGATGTATTTTTGTTGACATGCAGCTTAGTACTGTATAAGCTTATCTTTGGAAACGATATTTAATAGAAAAACACATCGTAACTCATTCAAATTTCATGCGTATCCCTTAATTCAGAATCAATATTCACTACAGACGTAAAATAAATTTATAAAATAAACTTGATGATGCAAATTTTAATCGATTGTGACTCAAATTTCATTGGAATGTCACATTAACTATGTCATTTTACATTTTTCTCATACAATAAAAATATGTCGTGAGCAATTAGCAATAGATATTTAATTGACTTAACTCCGTCAAAATTTTTGTAAAAAAATATACATTTGTTGTTAGTAACTAGATACGTTTCACTTTTGAGCAAATTCATTATGTAGTAAGTTATCGAACTCGATTAAAATTTTCTTTGATAGTCAAAGTGATGCTTTTAAATTGAAACTATATAATCGTTCGAAAGATAAAATTTATTTTCTCCGACTTTTAATATTCGTTGACTGGCTTATCTTACAAAGCTTCTCAGATGTATTAAACTCATCGTATCCAGGTCGAAGAATATTTCTAAGAACTAAATCTACCCTTACATATCTCTGACAAAATAGAATCCTAGACATTACGGCGCTGATATACACTTTGGCAGAATTCTTCTGGTTATCATTTTTACCTGCGATTTGACTTTCACAAGGTTTCTCTATAACAATATGATTATTTCATAGTACGAGTTTTATCAATCGATAATATATCACTGTCAAGAGAATTTCTTAGCGAAATATTGTCGAAATCACGATAGTACTGAAAAAGTTGCATATCACTCCTATGAATAAAGTCTTACGATATTATTCCACGAATTAATACGATTATGTGATACATTAAGACATTGTAAATCAATAAGTTTCTCAAATGAATTTGGTAGTGAGTTAATTTTATTATTACTTAAATCAAGTTCATTTAAATGAACGAGAAACGATATGACTTGTATATCTTGTATATGATTATTAGCTAAACGAAGAATACGTAATGATAATAAAGTTTTTAATGATGCTATGTTATTAAGTTCATTATTTGATAAATCGACATCAATTAAATTACGAAGATTACGAAATTGATTGGGTAATATTTTTAAATTGCAATGACACGCACGTAACTCTACTATAGATGAAAGTGTGTTAATAAACTAAAAAGATAAAACAAAATTCACGTACATATACAATAAAAAAGAACGATGTATGATTTTTTACATCAAGATGCTCTATTGTACAATTGGATATATCGAGAATTTTAAGTTGTGCTAACTTTAATACTTCTTCGGGTTTAATTATTGACAGTTTATTAGAATCTATACGAAGCGATTGTAATCGAGTTAGGCATATAAGACCGAGACCTAATAGAAACGCAATAATCTCTTTTACAGAATATTATATATGGATAATATTTACCGATTGATTGAATTTCATTAAATTGTAATTGAAGAATTTGTAGTTGAGTTAAACTAAATAAAAAATAGTATAAATCAATGATCTGCTATATGTTTTTAAAGCAAGGAGCAATGATCAATAGGAGAGTAAGTGTCAGCCAAGCTGTAATGTATGGATCCATAGTTTCTGTACTGCAGTTGAAGATATTATGTAGATTTTAAAGATGATATCATTTACTGAATTAATTCCGAAACAGATATTGAGAAATATACAAGTCTATTATATAGATAATTTCTAAGATAGAATCAATTTCATTAATTATATTTATGATGCAATTTTCAGTAAGATTCGATTTTGATCAGTTCTCCTATAGAAGTCTGTTTATCCGAAATGTTTTTCAATATTCTCATCGAATTAAAATCAGATGTTTTGTTACTATTTTCATTTTTAGCTATTAACCTGAGTAACAATCGAATAAGCTCAAGTTTTTGCACAATTTGTAGATATTTAAACAAAATCTCATGTGATAATTTTATATACTCAAAAGTTCAAGCATCAAAATTGTAATGAAGATGACTTTTTGCGCTCTCAGTATTTATCGATTTCAATAACCAAGTGAATTTGTTACAAAATTTAAATGAAATTAGTGGTAGAAGAACCTTTCATTTTACTCATCGAAGAATAAAAACCGGTTTTCAAGATTTCGAAATAATAAATAGTTCTGTTATATACCATTCAAGATTTTCAATTCGTTCAATTTTATTTCCATACAGTTTTAATTCACGTAAATTCTACAACAACAACACAAACAAAAATATGTTTTCAAAACGAATATTCATACGTAATGATTTTACCGATAGATTTTTTAAGTTTTCAATACGGATTAAATTATTGCATGAAAGATCTAATATCTGTAATTTACTGAACTAATAAACGAAAAAGGAAATACATAAAATTTTGTTTTAAATTAAAGCTTCATCGATATTACTTGAGATAAACTGGGTATGGTAGAAAGCCCTCGTGTATGTAAACAAAGTTCACTAACCATTGCTGGATGAAGATTATCAACATCATCAGGCTATATGAACAAGATTTCTCTAGCGAACATTGCATGCAAATGAAAACAAAAACTTTACAAGTGCTTCATTATTTAATTGTGAATTTTTGTTTGTTACAAGTGGCTGAAGGCGTTCGGGCTTTGATCTTGATGTGGTTGGGCTAGTAAAACTGCAGGTTTTTGAACGTGATAATGTTGCATGCTGTTGGAATGACACAAGAGATTGTGTTTGAGCGGTCGATAAAATACCTGATGAACATCGTTTATTATTGGATGACATGGAAATTTTATCTAAAATGGAAAACACCAATTCGTACAATTTTATTTTTGTTTTCTCAACACAAGAGAACAAAAAGTAACATTTTATTGATCTATTAATCTGAATTTAAAAATTGAAATCATCATATTCTCGAACAAGTTTTAATGTGATTTGAAGTAAACATTTATCTTTATCCCATTTTGCTTGAGAATTATCAGGATCAACAGGATGCGGCAATGATAATGCCAGACGACTATTCAAGAAGAAAATAATACCAATAAAATTAAGAAATAAACAGTTGAGAATATTTACTATTTTGGACAACGGCAGTCAAGAAATGATTTTGTTATATCCAAAACAATATCACTCAATTTTGTATCGGGCAATTGAATATTAACCTAAAATAAAGTATTACAGTAAGATAAATCTATAGCAAAGATCGAGGTTCATTATAATCAAAATAATTGGCAGTAAAGAAAATTGCTTATAAACACATCGGTTCATTGTAACTTCTAGATGCAATCTAAGTTTTAATGATATTTATCAGAAGAAATTTTCTTTTCGCTACTCGATTTGAATAGGAATTTTTACGAGTTTAGTCGCTTTAAGTGTCGAGTAATCCATGTGTTTGATATTACAGTTTTACTACAGAAATAACTGTCACAGTGGCATAATCGATAATTACAAGTTAATAGTATCGATCTCATATTGTTTGTTCTCGAGCAACTTACATGAGACCATAGACAGCTCAAGAATCTTGTTCTTATGCGGTTGCATGAAATAAGTAGCCACAATGTATTGTATCTGATATCGTTTCGTTTCGTTTATTTCACTAAGTCATTCTACATTGAGTGAATAAAGATCGATTTTAATAGGCACTGTGCTTTTTGCTTGTCAAACCTTTGCGAATTCTACACTCGCTTTTTAAAGTAGATAGACTTTTTGAGAATTACTTTTACATTGAAACAAAACGCAGCACAGTTAATATGCAATACTGTGCTGAAAAAATGATTTACTCTCCTAATTTTAATCATTCAATTTGTAGAAAACTAATGATATTGGCTATTCAAAATAAAAAACTCACCGCAAGATCTTCACAACTAGCCGATGATGGGTTTTTATTACCCATTTGAAGAAAGACATCTTCTGTTGTGATTCGTTGTTTATAATGCATTTCATATCTTAAGAAAGAAAGATAAATAATCTGGAATAGAAGCATTATTCATTCATTTTTACTCTGGTTGTGGTCGTTTGTCTACTTCATCAGCAACCTGCACATTACTATCAGGCACTTCATCGAGTTGCCAAATATCTTTTGATTTAACATTTGAAGGTTCTTGAAAATGAAATAAAAACATCATAAGACTTTATTTAATCTTATAAATATACTTTTTGGAGTATCGGAAGTTGTATTCTCAATAGTTTTAGAAGTTGTTTGAGCTTGTGAAACCATACTCGCAGGAGTTAAATGAGCTGTTGGATTTTTCTTTGGCTAAAATAGTCAGTGATTAAAAACAAATGCACATACTATTCTATGGTAGCTACCTGATCCTCATCGCTATCAGAATCAGCTCGATTCGGATCAGAATGTTTAAGTAAATCAGCTAATTTATTTATTTCTAATCCAAACATTTTTTTCTTCAAACAATTGTAAATGAAGTGTAAAAGAAAAAGCATTTCCATATGTCATGACATTTATTCATCAGTTACTATAGTAACATGTAGATGCCGCTAGTACATCAATTCCTGTTTTTAAATATAAAAATAAAAGAAATTAATAAATCTTCTTTGCCAATTCATACAATTATTTTTTTCTATTAAAATCATTTTTTACAGAGTAAAACTTACAAATTTACCATTCATAAATAAATAAACATCATAAAAATACGGAACATAATTGTATTATCTACTACTGATACAAAACTCTAAATCAGTCAAATCCAATTTTCAATCATGGCCACAACTGCACCAGCAGCAAATACTAGTGTATGGCTCTCTTTTTTCTCATTCATCTCTGATAAAAATCATTCTTTTAGGATACGACAGGAAATGATAATCTTCCAAATGTTGATCAAGCTCAGGGAAGTTCACCTTCTTCTAATGTACTCTCACCTGACCGTGTTATTACACCTGTTGCGTCAAATGTACAACCTCAACCAACAACATCCGGATTTGCTTCAGTTTCAAGTTCGGTTACTCCTACATTCACCGCATTGAAAGGAGCTGCTTTGCAACAAGTTGTTGGTCATCCATTTGCTTATGTACGAGTATTAATGCAAGTAAGATATAGAAAAAAAAGATGATTGTTGTCTTATTTCTCTTAATGAATAATTTTCAAACTTTTCTAAGATGGGTTATGAACCATTACCAGCAGTTCGTGGAAGAACTTTATTTGGCAAAGAAGCTCTTTATTATCCTCATGCATTTCGTTATCGTTAGTTTGATTGAGTTTTCGAAAAATGTTTTGTTTTTACCTTTTTTCTTTTGATAAATTTAGTTAAATATGTTTATAAAATTGATGGTTTTGTTGGTTTATACCGTGGTTTTGGTTGTTCTCTTTTATCGAAAGCTGTTTGCTGGTATACAACAACAAAAGTTGATGAAGTAAATTTTTAAAAAGACTTGAACAATATATTTGTTTTCCTACTAATATACTATTAGATCCTTGGTCCTGTTAAATCTCAAGCATCAAATGATCAAACAAATGCGTCATGGAATAAATGTATAGATAGAGTATGTTGCATATAAGGAATCATGATTAATTACTTAGTATCTTTATTAATATAAAGGTTTTACGAGAAATACAAACACAATCTTGGGGTATTCTTATCTCGCATCCTTTTCAAGGTAAGATTAAATTTGTTTCGATTTTGGAACAACACGGAAGAAATAATTGACTGATAACTAGTGATGGCTATCCGATGTATGGGTCAATTTGTTGGTCGAGAAAAAGCGTATTCATCAATAAATATCTTTCAAAATGTGCAAGAAATTTATGATCGTCAAGGAATCGGAGGATTCTTTGTGTATGTATATTTGAGATGTTATTTTCTATGATACTGATCTTCTATTTATAACAGTGGACTTATGCCTCGATGGTTACTTGAAATTTCAGCTGTTATTATAACAAATGTACTTGTTCATTTGCTCAAAACACAAATACCGTCACCAACTGAAATGGGATCTTTATTCGATTATGTTGCTTCTGTAAGTTTATTTCTCGAGAAAAATTAAAAGAGATGAGGAAACTTCGCGAGAAGTCTAATCATACATACACTCTAGATAGAATTCAGTATGTTGAGATAAGACGATCAATAATTAACTACTTATTTCCTACCTTAATATCTGTAAAATGTCGTGTTTTCGTTGAAAACATTTGGAATTATTGAAGCTATTTATAGTCAAGATTTAAAAGCAAAACTCTTCACTTTAGAATGTTTGATCATTAATAAAAGTAGATATAGACAACTCTAGATACTTACTTTGTCTGACTTATTCAATTTGAATAAGCGATCGATTCGTACGTATTTAGTCTTCTGAAATTTCATAACAGATGAAAATATATCAAAAATTTTCACTGAAATTTTGTTTTCAAAGAATTTAAATTGTAAAGAAAACTTCCAAAATTTAAACTTGTATATTTTTGCTGAGCAAGAAATTCTTGATATCAATAAATTTTTATATTTGTCTAGGATTTTTTATCGCTTCACTAAAACTTTTATTCATGAAATAACAAAGTGAAACTTTTCAAACTGTTTTCACATTAAATTTTGAATATAACCAAGTTTTAGTGATATTAAAACAAACAAAAAGAATTCAAATTCCATTAGCTCTTTCATTTTCAAGTTATGGCTAGATAGATTTTATGTCATCAGGGAACGATTAGTATCGACTGAAACATTTAGAATATTCTGTGAAGTTTTAGACTCATATTTGAGCAAGTGATCAGACTAAATATGTTTTTTAAATTCTTCCAAGATCACTTACAACAATATCAATATTCAATAGGCTATTTCGTATTCAACACGTAAAAATTAAGAAAGCGAATATTCATCTCATAATTAGCATACTTCATCAATATTGACTTTGAAACTAAAAGATATTCTAATAAAAATATAATGGAACATCGAAGCTCATTCGCTCATCTGAATATCTCTGATATTTTTATAATCGTTAATTTTCAATAAGTCAATACTTTCTTTGGATCGACTTCATTGGACATGGGCTCTCATTAAGTATTATTCAAACTAATTTAACTTCATTTACTTACTTTTTTTTGGATGTCGACCATAAAGACAGCTTCTTTTTGTTTTGAAAAAAAAAAGACTAGCATCTATTTTCTATCATCTTAGCAATGCATAAAATATAGGCATTATTTTCTTTCGAAAAACCAAATAAAATGCCACGTTTAACGTTTAGCATAAATGTGAAAATAGGTATCACTCAATATTATTTCGGTTAATGGACAGATTCAAAACTTGTTTTTTGAGAATTCTGAATGGCTTTTTTTTCGAAATATTTGTTCAACCGTATAAAAGTAAAAGTAAATAAAATAGTCAGAATAATAACTTTGATTACGTAACAAAACCACACCATTTTTTTCATTCGTTTTTTCTCGTGTCGTTTGAGTCGAACGATATACCTATATTAAAAAATGACTCACTCTATACTTGTTATTTGTTTATGTAACCTCGATTTTGAATTCGATCACAATATGAAATTAATCATTGAACTTTATATCAATAAAAATAATTATATTTTTAGTTCATAGCTCAAACCGTGACATATCCATTGAGTGTGGTATCAACTGTAACAGCTATTAATGGAAGTGGACTTCGTGCTGGAATGTTACCTATAACACCCATTTATGATAATTGGCATCAGGCATACAATTATTTACAAAAGACGGTAAATATTTTGTTTTTGTTTCTAATAATCAAGATCAGCAATATCCTTTTTTCTTCACGTTTTAGGAACAATTAAAACGAGGTTCCAGCTTTTTTAACCGTGCTGCCCTTGGTTCAAGTGGCCTTCCAGCAGTTGGCTCACATATACCACATGCTTAAAAACTGTGCTCGTCCTTTTTCTTTCCTTCTCTCACTTTTTTTCTTTTTTTTATACATAAATCTGAGTATTCGAATATATATTGTAGCCTTGGTAACAGATGCGTATTCTCCCATTTCTCTGTCTCTCGTTCATTTGCCATAACTTATTGTCGTCTGTTTTTCTTCGTTCACATTTATTCTCCTTTCTTTAGAGTGAAAAGAAAAAAACGAGTTCAAGATCAAATAAATAGATGCTACGGACCTTGTAGGGAATCAACATTCAGGGAAAAAGATAAATAAAAGCTAGCACTCATATCAAGGTCAAATAATATCATTACAGAAACGAAAGAAACGACACGATTGAGATGACCGATCGGCCGAATTTTTTCTCATTTTGTTTCATTTGTTTATATATATGTTCATATATGATATCTAACCTCTCGATACCAATCAAAGAAAAAAGTTCACACACAGTTCTAAACTGGCACCACTCCAAGGAAAACAAACAACAGCCTATCTGTGGTATGTACGCATGCCAAGTAAAACATTTGATACAGTTGCTCGCATTCTTTTTTTCAATCATCCTTATTCTTGTTCTGTACATAAAATGTAGTTATGGTGTATGGCGTGATGCTTTTTTTACGTTGTCTACCCCGTACATATATGTACTATTTTGTCATTTTTTTCATTTTCACTCTGGAGATTACACACACTAATGTTAGTTTCTTATCCTTGTATCGTTCAAATTTCTATATGAGAGCCTTTTTCTTTTGTGTATTTCAGTAAAACACACCTTTAAAAGTAAAAGATAATGGAGTTGAATTATTTCTCTCTTCATAAGTCTTTTTTTACACATTCTACTGAAGTACGGTTATGATTTACTGAAGTATTATAGAATTATTTCAAAATGATGTAGACATTATCATACTCTAGACATTACAGTTTTTGTTAAATAATGAAAATTCAATAGTAGCTACTAAATTTTTAAAGATTGATATTTTTGTTTCATGTTTATTCATACTACTACCACTCATTTGCTGCAGCATCATAGTGGTAAGAAGATAATCCATAGTTAATCAATGATCATTGGTCTGTTCAAATTACATAGCTATGAAAGCATTTTAATTAAAAAAGCGTAGTGACATTTGAAACTAATCAAACGACAGATGCTTTATATTCAGTATTGATCTGATCAACAATATCTTAAAGGGAGTTAAATATTACTTTTGTATTCTGTTACAGTGAGAAAGAGAAAGTTGATATAGTAATTTACTTATTTTCCTCGTATTCATTCTTTTATTGAATCTTTCATCGTAAAATTCTAGAGTTTTCTAACTGCTTGCATTTTAAATAATCGTTTTCATTATAAAGATTGATGGTAATTAACGCAAGAATAAAACTTAGATACATATAATAATTAATTGAGCAAGACAATAGATAACAATTTGGAGTTTGTAGTAATCGAAAGAGAATAATTTCGAATATCTTTTTAGCTGATCATACATAAGATAAATTCTATTTAAAAGAATTTAATAGAAATTTAGAATTCTTCTGATTTTGAATGATTGAAGGACATGGGTTTTTTTCAATATTGATTTATGGGAAACGTATGTTCGAGTGAAAATTATATCGAAACGAAACACTAATTCACTGTATTTTTCTTAATGATAGTGGATTTTAGAATAGTTTTTCTTATGAAATGTTAGATGGAAAAGTTTCTGATGTTGTTTTTTTTAATGTTTAAAAAGTACAGATCCTGAGTTATTTACATTATACAATTATTAAACTTGCACTCGTTCGTTTTAAATGTTGGTGTTAATATTAGTTAAGTAAACACAAAATACAACAACAGAAAAATAATCCTTTATTTTCAATATTGAAGATAGATGAGAAAAAATGATAATCAATACTAAAATTTTCCTATTTTTTTTTATATTTAATTGTCTGATCGGATAAAGTAGTTTTTGAATAAACACATGCAGTTTCTAGTCTCATTTGATAGTTCACGACATGTAATAAATTATGTCAGCTACTCAGAGATAGCAGACTCAAATAATAAACTAGTTGTTGCCTATCATTGCTTTTTATAATCATTTTTGTTGATGTAGAGTAGCAGCCAAAGAAACAAACGTTCATTTTCATTCCTTATCTTTCAAATAATATTTTGTATAAAGACTCCCACCCACTTATAAACGCGACACATACCATTTTAAATACTTGTGTTTTAGAACTTTACATACGTAATAGAATGTTCGATCTTTTTATTTTGTTTCTGAAAAATACATTCCATCATACCTATGAAAGTCATATAAATAAAGAATAGAAATAGACAGTCAATAACATTTTGTTTTAATCTTATTGTTTTACTTAAATTCCTATTGTGCTTGTTTTTGGTATTGAAGACTAGGTTGGAATATTGAAGTTTTGACCATACAGTGGGCGATCATGGATTCTTCAATGAAGCAAACAAATCGATGTCAAATTCGTATGAATTCTACTCGACAAATAGCGAATTTACAATGGATAAAATTCGCTAACATATATTCAAAACTCTTAATTCGATTTTCGTGGTCAATACTTTCTATTGGTCTGTTGATTACAGCTGGACTGACAGCATGTTTCTGTTTACTTGTGGAAGTACGGCAATTTGGTCAACAGGATTTTTTCATGCCAAAAGGTTTAACGATGACCAATGCTCGTCGTATAAAAATGCTATTTGGCAATGATACAGAATTACGTATGCATCAACAATTAAATCTCTATCCAGGTTTAGATATAATTATAAAAAGAAAAGTGACCAACAATGAAAGAAGTGATAATCAAACCAATATGCTTGATAATCGAACTGTAGAAGAGGTATTTAATAAAACGTTTTCTTTTTAAAGTTTCTCTTTGTTTTCTATTCGATCAGTGAAGACAGATAGATTTCGGTTAATGAGGAATCATAGAATAGATGTTTTAAAACATTAAAAAACATTTGTTGTTTAATGATATCATTTAATGTAAACAAAAGTTAATCATACGTATTTCTTCAACACTTATAGAAGACAATAGAAGAAAGCATAAAACTTACGCAATCATAGTTGATTTAATATAAATTTACATATACTACAAGAAGAGGCTGTTCTCTAACTGTCAAAATAACGACGTATTTTCAAAATAAAAACTATTTGTCAATTTCATATTATAATTCATCGAGGAATCGATCTAAATGTTTTCTTCTGTTTAAGTGTATATTTCTATTTCTTGATAGAGTTCATAGTTTAGATGAAAACCTTAAAACTTTTCGTGACATACGGTCTTTTTTTTTTGATTTGCGCTCACTATATTAAGTTTACTATACGTTAAAGCATATGACGATAAAATCGTATGACGTAATCTTCGTCTAAATGTATTCATAATAGTAGATTTTTTCATATTTATCACATAATGAAAGATTCAGCTCATACATGTGAACGTATCTTTTTCGAGATAACACATACCACGTACAAAAGTTCAAAAAATATAAATCGGTTTTTAGGCTTCAATTCTTAAAGAAGAAATTGAATATTTGATCCAACTTAGTAAATCTTGCATATATCGACGGGTCAACTTTTATTGAACCGAACGTTTTTACAGTGTTAATCCAGAGTATTAGTCAAGAATGATTTCAATCTTAATGGTTTTACACAGTTGATCTGAGAAGATTTTTATCACGTAAAATAATTTTTGTTTGATGCAGTAGTAACTGCAGAACTGTATATCCCTCGACAAAAACATAAAGACTAGATAGCTTAATAAAAAATATTGCCATATTCAATATTAAATAGTAAAATTTATTTTTCATACCAAAAGAATGATTCGAAAAAGTCAAATCTTATTTTCTTTTAGAGAGAAAATGACAGACATACTGTTCTTCAAAACTGTTCGTGCTCATTTCCCACCTGCTGGCTGACTGAAGGATTTAATGAAGTCTATAATGAAAAAAGTTCTAAGAACAATGTTGAAATGTAAAAGTAACAACTCAGATTCGCTACTACATGTCATAACTCAAAGACATATATAAATAAAATATTACTACGGTCTATGAATTACTGTTTTATTGCATTTCTAAAAGGTTCAGTGAAGCAATGTGCCACAAAAAAGATAAAGTAAAGCAATCTTTCTGTCATTGGCTATAGTATTTAAGTTTTACTTAATCGAATTACCCAATAGGGATGCCGATTGAAAGGGAATTTTTAACCTGTTTACATGCCTTCTTTTCGAAATCTTTCAAAGATATGTTTTTACATAGAACCTAACTTTTTTTTGATAATTCTATATATTAAAAATAAAATATTTAGATAAAAATGTTGGATCAACAACTTCAATCTATTCTTATAACTGATACAAAAAATAATGCTGAACTCAATTATTCATCATTATGTACAAAAATGAACTATGCTTGTATTATTGATGGAAATTATGTATTGAGTGAAAAATTTCGTGACCATATGATTCATTTACATCCTCCCAAACATGGATATTATATGGATGATTCAGGAGCTAATGGTGTTCCAGGTTTTATGTTTGGTAAAAACTATGGTTATGCTGATCGTGCTCCGCCCGCTTCTGATGATTCCGATTATGTAGACGTAGAAGAAGAAGCACAACAACATGAACTTGAGAATTCATCAAAAATTGTTTCACCAACTACTGAAAGAATTATTGCTTATGTACCACTTTTCCGTCTTCGTTATTCATTAAGTTCATCAACACCAGAAATTCGCAAATTAGCAATTGATTGGGAACGAAAAGCTCTAAGTTATCTTAATGGCGAATATAAATCAAAATTAATTGACGTATTTCCGTCAACATCAACAGCTATATCTGACGCTATTAGTAAAACAGCACACGAAGAAGGAATATATATTACTTTTATGTTTTTAATATTCTTTGTTCTTCTCTGCATTTTTCTCAGTATTCAAGGAAATTCTTACACTTCAGTTGGTTATTTACCACTTTGTGGAATAATCAGTATTTGTCTTTCAACTGGTGCTACGTTTGGTTTACTATCTGTTTTTCGTATTAAAATTATTGAACCAATGGCTCTTTTGATTTTTATTGTTGCAAGTAAGCTAAAGAAATTTTCTATTGAAACAATTCAATTCAGCACGTTTCAAAATAAGATAATAATTGACAGTGACTTATTTTCAACAGAATAGGATATCACTGAGCGTACATGATATATGCTGGAAAAGTCACTTTGGGAGTGTGGGTATCAGAGCATCAACCAGGCCGTGTTTTTGTAGGCCTGGCCGGTCCGTGACAGGCCTTTGCATTTCAAGCCTGCCTGTGCCTGTCAACTAATTTGTTTGGCCTGGCCTGTCTGCCTGTCATTTTCTACGGCCTGCCTGGCCTGCCTGGCAAGGCCTGTATATTTTTCTTTTATGCCAATACCATTACCAGGGATGTCGCAAGTAACCAAAAATTGGGAGGGGAAGTAACTTATAAAATCCTACTTTCCAAATTTTGGGGGTAGTAGCTAGTGTTGCCAAGTCTTCATGTTTTTTCTAGTTTTTTGAGATTTTTGGGGGATTTTTTCTAGTTTTTTGAAAATTTTTTGTAAATGTTTTCTGGATTTTTTGGATTTTTTTGGTTTTTTTAGGATTCTTCTCGATTTTTGGATGCTTTTCGGGATTTACCAAGATTTTTTGCGCTTTCTTCAAGGTTTTTCTGCATTTTTTTTAAAGATTTCTTGGGGATTATTTCGAGATTTTTCGGAGTTTTTCAGGTTCTTTTAGATTTTTCACCGTTTTTCGGAGTTTCACAGGATTTTGAGATTTGAATTCTGGATTTTCGAGTTTAACATTTGACAACACTGAGGGTAACTGATAAAATCGTGCTTAACATAATATAAGTTTCATTTTGTGAAATACAATGCAAGACAAGTTTTCGAATATTGGGGTGGGGGTCACGCACACACACTCCCTTTGACCATTACTATGATAGAATAGAAACATGCAGTTTGTTTTACTTTTGAACGAGATGGAAGATCATCATTAGAGATGGAAGATGAAAGATCAATATCAGCCATTTCACGAAGAAAGACAAATGAAATGTTAACACATAGGTTTAACAAAAACAATAAAGACTTTAACAGTCAATAATGAGTATCTGAACAAGGGGTGGCACTTTAACTTTCAAACACTTTAAAAAAGTATTAAAGTTTAAAGTTGTAGTTAAAACCAATAGAAAATTGATCGTGAAGAGCCAAAATTTATTTTTCACTTTAACTCTGGTTTTTCGACGTTAAAGAGTTAAAGTATTTTACTTTAATTAAAGTTTAAAGTATTGCTTTAACTTTAATTTTTAAAGTAAAGTTAAAGTGCCACCCCTGATCTAAACAATAATCGATCAGAAAGATCTTAACAACAATCAATAATAATAAAATATAGATAAATGAGAACATGAAGAGTGAATAGATAAAGAAGAGGAACTATGCGATTTGAGCTGAACATTAGTCATCACCTCGATCAATCACAATGAAGACAGAACATTATTCTATACTTCTGCCGATCACTAGCGTTACGTTTAATTTGTTAAAAAAAAATTATATTAAAAAAAAACTATATTTATGAGGAATATAGACAGGCCAGGCGGCCTGGTGTTTTTAAGCGGCCTGCTTGGCCTGACTGAGGGGTCGGCCTGGCCTACCTGTGACAGGCCAGGCCTAAAAAATGTGGCCTGTGCCTGTGACAGGCAGACAGGCCCAGGCAGGCAGGCAGGCCTAGTGGCCTGGTTGATGCTCTGGTGGGTATGCTATTCATTTTAGAATTACATGTTATATTTACAAGTTGAGAACTGTCCCATACTTTATTTGATTAGTCATCTTGTTAATGTAAGACATTACAGTTCTTGTAAGTTTAGTTTTTTTTATAAAGCGTTCTTAGTTTTTGAAGATTGAATTTGCCGTGACGTGATGAGAACAGTGATCAACTGATACTTTCACGATATTGTATCACTCATTGAACTTCTACTCTTTTCGTTGTCATTCAATTCTAGTTATCGATGCTATGCGTTGTTCAATTGTATGCGGTGAATATCATCGAATAATTATCGAACATATGGATACATCACCTGATGAATCACCTGAAATAGATATTGAAAAACTTCTTCCGTCAATTATTACATCAACTCATCCGTATTTTATAGCATCAACATTAATTATATCATTTGTTTACTTATTATTTTCCATATTTTCACCCATGTCATTAACAATGCCCATTTGCTTAACATTAGCATTGTATATATTTATTAATTATATTGTACATTCAACATTTTTTACATCGTGTCTTGTTATAACATTAAAACGTGTATCATCACGTCGTCATTGTTTATGTTGCTGTCGTTTACCAAAAGATAATTATACAAAACAAAATCGAAAATCAAAGAGTTTAAATGTTTTCAGAAATCAAATTTATTCATTACTAAAGATAGATTCAATGTGGAAGAAACTTTTTGCTTCTATTTTTTGTTTATTATTGGTTGTTTTTATCATCTTAAGTTTGTGGTTTGGACTTTCCATTGATACATCTTTATTTGAAGATAAATATCTTCCACGTGAGTTCTATTCATTACGATCGCATATGCAATCACAAGTCGATGATTTTGAGATGGGTCCTGTTATTATGTTTACAATACCTGAAGCAATTGACTACAATAATGCATACACTCAAGAAGCAATGCGCAATCTACTTGAACAATGTGTAAGTGAAACAAGAACAAATACATTTAAATTATTGTGGTTGACTAATGAAAATATTACATACATAACAACGGGACGCGAAAACTTAACATTTCGTATAACACCATTTTCAAAAAATGATTTGATTGTTTCTGAAGGAGAAAATTTTTCAACAATACAAGCATCAAGATTTTATTGTCAATATAAATCTATTAAAGGTAAGAGATTTATTCTTATTATTCATGACGTTCAAACATTCTACGACCGAGATTGATATTAATTAAAGAGAGAGAATACTAGTTTCCAATTGCATTCTTTCATATATGTACTCATATAAGTGAACATATCAGAATGGACACTAGAAGAAGAAAACTCTTATCTTTAAATCAATCCTCCACAGAGAATGAAGATCCTTCTCTTATCATTATAGTCAGGGATTCAATCCATTTTCAAAGTTGAAGCACAACTTTTCTAGAATCGTATCAAGCTACTTTAGGAAATCAAAAGAAGGGAAGAGGCACACCAATTCGTTTGAAATCTTGTTTTTTTTATCCTGCATGTTTGATGTATTACACAATTCATTGAATTTAACCTCAATGTTTTCTAGTAAATAAATCCTTTTAGGTTAGGATATAATTTACCTTAGAGAGTAAGCGATGTTGAAGCTGTTGAATCTAATTTTTATGAAAATATCTAAGTAGTGTTATTCATACGAGCAAATGTGCAATTAAAGATGCAAAAAAAAAGAATAGCTTTTGAACTGAGATGAAAAATATTTTGTTTTCATTATTTATTTAGGCGATCGTGAAGATATTCGAACAATGAACGCTATGTATACGTATGCTAAGCAAAGTCTAATACCATCAATATTTCCTTATAGTTTACTTTTTCCAAGTTATGAATCGTTAGGACAATTACGAATCGACATTTGTGTATTAATACTTGCATTAATACTATGTTGTTTTATAATTACATTTATTGCATTTATTTCATTGAAAAATAGTCTTCTGATTGTTGCACATTTTCTTGCTCTATCGGCAGGTACTTTAATGTGCCTATATTTATTTCAAAATTTAACCTATAATTTTGTCGCTGGGCCTTGGCTATATCTTGTGCCAATTTTGTACGTTGATACTTTAATTCATGTATGTTACAGTCGAACAGACAGCAAATGGAAATACAATCGTGTAATTCTTTCATTACTCATTTCTGCCTTTGTTTTATATTTATTTCCTATTGAAACATATGCATTTCAAATAATATGTCGTTCAATTATTTATCAATCAATAATATGTTTCGTATTAATTAACTTTATACTTCCATCATGGTTTTATTTATTTCAATCAAATAATAATAATAATAATAATAATAATGATGATAATAATGATAATAATAGTGAGGATCAAATAGACACTGTAGTCAGTCCTACAATGACTATCGTTGTTTCAAATAATTCATTAAAAAGTGGTATGGAAATTAATAATCATATTGATGAATCAAATATAAATATAAATGATCCGATTTAAAAAACAAAATTCTTTTTTTGTTTTTTAGTTTTTCTGTGATTTCTCTTTCTTCGTAGTTTAATTTGCACGTTTTTTTTTCGCTTTTGTGCTTTTTTTTGTATTTGTTTGTTGCTTAAAACTAGTTAGGAGTTAAGATATGTACCGATGTATTATTTGTCTCTCTTGTTTTCTCTTGAGATATGCGAAGTCACATACATGCGATACTTTCTTTTGTTGTTTTTCTCGTTTTTTGTATTTGTGTACTTATCGCCACACTATTCTTTTTTAATCAGATTCTTATAAAACAAAAAATGCGCTTTATCATTAATGGTGAAAATAAATAAATACTGTAATGATAATGAAAATAAAAACTAGTATTAATGAAACTTCTTCGTGTGTAAATACGCCTATTGATCTCATGTATAAGAAGAAGGGAAACGATTTCTCCGAAGATAATTATTTTACCCTATTGAATAATTATACTCTATTACTAGAGCAAATATTATGATCAGTTTATACAGATATTGGCCCTAGAAGTGTAAAATTGTTAACGTAAAAATGACGACAATAATTAGTTTCATTTGACCTTACGTATTGCTGATAGCACGATTTTATAAATAGTGAAACTCTTTAAAAGTACAACTTCGTCGTTCACAAAAGTCAGACTACCGTGGCAACTCTTACTATAAGTATGAAATAATTTATCAGGTAATATTTAATGTTTTAAAGCAAATGAACAATGAAATTTCTTTCTTAATATTAATTCATTCTGTTTGAGGAGAAATTTTGTTACAAATCAAAAACAAAGATGTGTCTGCAATCATCAAGATAATTAATTCATGCAATAACTAGTTTTTAAATCATAATTAATGTATTATATAATAACTAGATAAAACTCTTATTGATCTAGTTATTTTATGAATATCTTTCAATGAATTTTTAAGATAAACTGCAAATATATGAAAGCATCATTTTTATACAGAATTAGCTGTAAAAATAGTTATCATGTCCTTGTATAAAATTAATGTAAATGGTATTATGACATACAACTTGATGATTTGATCGTAGATGTTGTCATAAACGATACAGAAATCATATTAATTTTATTATTTATGGCGGATGCATATGCATTGTTCTAGTTTTTAATTATCACATACACATAACTAGCCCACAGTGTTTTTTTTTTATTAATTATATTATAATATAGCAATAATCTATGAAATCCAGGATAATAGCAGGAAGTCTGTTAGCTCTAATATGTATAGAATGAAAGGAAGAAATAAGGAATGAAAGAGAGAGAGAGATTATAAAGAGCGAAAGAGACAAGCAGTGTCACTGATGTTATTGACAGAACGAAGAAAAATATGACCTTCACGGGGATCGAATCCATACCTTTTGCTATCCGGGCAGATGTCCTACCAGTTAGACTAGAAGAACGTATAAATCTTCGTTTAGCGTTAGTGTGATCCATCACTAACGCTAACAAAGTCTGCCTTTCATATGGATTAATAATAGATAATCCCAGGTCGAGCGTTACGGCTACCAGAAACGGTCGTATACGACCGTAAACGTTAACGTATACTACTGTTTCCTGCCGTTTCTCACCGTAAATGACCGTAACTTGACGTTTTGGTATGCACCGTATTACGGCCGTAATTAATCGTGTCGTAAACGGTTACTAACGACCGTAACGTGGTCGGATATTTCCGTATACGATCGTTTATGACCCGATACAAAACGACCGTAATACGGTGCATACCAAACGGCCGTGTACGACACAAGTTGATCGACCTGGGATTGCAGCTTTTTTTTATACCCATATCAACGTCTACAAAATATAACGGGAGCATAAGAACTAGTCGTTTGTTCACAGAAGAAAGTTAATTTTCAAAGTTTCATACTATAGGATATAGATACTAATGCCATCGATTGAAGTTCTCAATATTGTTGCAGTAGATATCTCCATTTATATTGGCTTACTTATTCTTTTCGATAGATTAATTGGCAATATTTTCAATATTTTGGTACTTCTTAGTCTCAAAACTTTTCGAGAGAACTCATGTTCATTCTATTTAACAGCTATGTCATTTCTTAACATAGACCAATTATTAACAGGTATGCTTCCTCGCAGTGGCGGGAGGGGGGAGCATTGGGCAATTGCCCAATAACTAAGAAGTTATTGTCCAAGAATTTTTTGAAATGTTAGTCCAATGCCGAAAAATTTTGATACACATATATGTTCGAAGATACATGGTGTTATTGTAAAACAATGTCTCTTATTATGATCTAGTTAATAATGATGAATTTTCCTTTAGTATGCATCGGTTTCGCAATGACAATGCGTATCGGAAAAAATTGTAGCTCAATTATTTTTTAATTGCCTATTGGTGACCACTACGCAAAATAATTTAGCTGGGAAACAGTCCATGACTCGAAAATTTCAGACTACGTCACTGTTTCCTCGTATAATCAATGTTTGGTTTGCTATTGATTGACCAGATAGTTCGTTGACTTATTGTAAATTTCGAACATCTTTTTTTCAAGTATGTTCATTGACGTCTTTTACTTGTATGTTTTCGCAACAATTGATCAATTTCGGACTACGGGCGTAAATCAGAGATATTGCAATATTAAAGTTGCTCATCATGCATTTGTCATGTCATTTTTTATTTGGATTATTCATGGCATTCAAACATTAATCTATCAAATTCATACCATATCAGCGACGAGGGGAGCAGCAAAATGTGAAAATTTCGAATAGTCTATTTCAAAAATATTATAATTCGAGATTTATTATTATTTTAACAAGGAGTCTACCTGTTGTTTTGACGGCTTTATTTGGGTCATTAGCTTATCATAATATAAGATAATTGGCTTTTCGCACAGTGCCTCTTGTTCGACGTGAGTTAGACAAACAACTGGCAATTATGGTTCTCGTACCAGTTGTTTTCAATTTTTATGTTATTGTACCATATGTTGTTGCATGCATGGTTAATTTTAGTACTAATATGACCAGAGATTCTTATAATTATGTTATGCTACAATTCGCTATAAATCTGACACTTAATTTGTTTTATTTGTACTTTGCAATAAGTATAAATCATCACATCGAAATATCGATTCACTGGTTTTCTTTTTACATTATTTAGAACCCATTTTATATTTATGCATGTGTATCGACAAGATTTCGTAAGCAATTAATTTGTGTACTCTATGGAATATATATGAAGCAATGGCAAGATAGAACAATCCACGCAAATCATATAGTACCAGTCAATTGACAGCTTTATATCGTGGCCAATAAAATATTTGTTTCATAAATTTTGACTTTGAAATATTGAAGTATTTACTTAACCTAGCTATGATTTCTCTCCAATCATCATCACGAAGAATCTTAGAAAGAGTTTTCGTGATAGTCATTTACCTTTTCAAGTAAATTTTCAAGACTACGATACATGATAGGCTTTCGCGCTTTTATTACATCTGATTTTTAAAGTAACAATCAGCTTATTTGATTGTTCCGCTTTGTGCTAGTAAATAAATGTAGATATCAACTAGTAGAATTCCATAAAGTCGAAATAAAAAGAAGATCATTTATTTCAGATCAAACAGTAAAAGAACAAAAAAAAAGTATCTAGCAAAGCGTTGACTAAGATTTCTTTGAGTCTGTAATCTATCGCAATACATTATTGACTTCACCGACTAATAATCAATGGCAAATTCCGTATCCTACTTTTAAACTGCACAGAGAACTTTGATCTTTCCGACTGGATTACAGTTCAATTGATTTGTTTTCCGACTAAAAATTGTCGATCTGCATTATTATGGCAAACAATTAATCTAAATTGAACTGGTAAATGCGATCGAATCAAATTAGATGAGCATATAATCAACTAATTATCTTTAAAAGAAACAAAATTCTTAGACTTCTGACTACGCAAATATAAACTCAACTAGAGTAACTCATATTCGAAGAACTTTCATTTCAGTCAAATATTCATCAAAGATTCGATGGATGACTATATTAATTATCGTATTTAAATAAACTCCATTAGACTTTTCGTTTAACAAATCGTACTTTCAATCTAATTCCAATTTTGTTTTATGTTTATCATTACCAATGAAAACTGACTTCTCTTCAGAACCTGATATTTCTATAACAGTTGGTAATGATGATAATTTCTCATCATCAAATATTACTTAAGTTCAAAAGCAATAGTACGCTCCTCACAAGAACTATAGATGCACAGTATATTTTGCGCAATATCAATGGTCAAAATGAGCAGTAGTCGAAACAAAATTTTATAAAGGTAAAATTTGATTTTTTTTGTTTTTTATTATGCAAGAGTTAACCCTATGACCCTGACCGTCCTAAAGGGACAAATGAACTTAAAACATAATGTTCTTGTTATAAAATAAGAGAGGAAACAACAAAACAAAAAGAAAGAAAGAAAACAAAGCAAAAGCAGAAATGAGAGATGGAAAGACGAAGAAAAAAATAGAATAAAAATAAAAATAATGATAAGATACAATAGAATGAAATAATATAGAAATGAACCAGAATGATAGAAGAAGAGAAAAAAAAGACACAACCCAAGAGAACATTCCTTCATAGCATTATAATAAGCGAAGCGTCTATCAACGAGAAAAAAAAACAAAAGTAAGAGAAGTGTAAAACGGAAGAAAAGAGAGAGATACATAAAAGGCTGTCAGCCAGTATTGACTATCTGTTTGACATGGCAAAAGGTAAAATTTAGTTGAATCGTAGTTATCCAAACTATTTTTAAAAGAACGAGCATTCAACAGCCTGTAAACTCAACAAAAAAACTATTGGAAGGTGTAGCGCCTTGATGAGAATCAGAGACGCAACTAATAAAAATGCCAGGTGCAACAGTATTGGTTATGGCAGAATGATAGCAATAAAAATAAAATAGTATTGAATATTGGATAAAGATCCAATTGTTTATTCAATGAACAGAAATAGTTGTCAATAAGAAGAACCCCACAAGCACGTAGCTGACACGAGTTCGAACGATTGTAAGTGACAATCGAATTTGATTGATTATAATGAGCAATCAAGTTGAAAGAAGAAGGTAATATGTAATTAATCAAAAAGATGATTCTTTTTGAGAGAGAAGAATAGTAGTATATCTCGGTGAAGAGAGATATATGAAGAAGCTTGCAGAAGCTTAAATAAGAAAAAACAAGAAGAATAAGAATAATGAATTAACAGTATTAGGCGCAAAAACAAGCAAGAGAAAAAGACAGGGAAGCTAGAAAAAGAAACAAAAAGGCACTAAGATAACATCAGTGACGTTTATGCCGTCACAGAGGATTTCCTATTGAATATTCTCGAATGACAACTTCTGACATTGTTTTTAATAGAGGAAAGTAACACTTCGATTAATACTTTCCGAACTAACTTAATTAGTTGTATTCGATTTTTCTCGAATTGTAAAAAACCTATGCTTAGTGTTTGTTTTTTAATCCGACACAATTATTATCGTTTCTGTATAGTAAATACATTTTTCCAAAACAAATGTAACAAAGAGGAAAAGAAAAAAAAATCAAACGCCTCTACAAATGTACTTGCAACTGGAAAAATGTTTTAGTTTCCGCTTAGTTTAAGTTGTTTAGATAGAATCAGCACAAAAAAATTACACAAATGTAGCGCATCAAAAATTCTATCGATATCAACTTTGGTAAAAATATTTTAGATCGTTTTTTCTTTCTTTAAACAGAACAGCTTGGGAATTAAAATTTTTGTATCATAGAGTTTTTATGACGGTCAATCAATTTGCAAAGACATCAGACGATGCCTTTATAAATCATACATAGACTGAATTCTTTTTGTGTTATTTGGTTATAATAGGTTAGTTTTTAAAATTTAACAGAAAAAAATAATTGGCAAAAATGAACAGAAAATAGAAAATGATGTTGCAAGCACATTGTTTGAGATGTTTGGCTTTTGGCTTTTCCTTCCAGTAACATTCGTTCGGGAAGAATACCTCTGATACGAATGTTGCAGTTCAGGCTTTGTTCTTTCCAACAACAAAAATGGTTATTATCGCTTTAGAAATCAGCAATGTGGCCCAGCAGGTGCTGAAATTTTTGTCAATACTTTTGCGTCGTGTATTAATTACAAACTACGACATTTTTCGAGTATGTTTCTAAGGTTCGCATACACCTAACAGCCTATAATCAATATTTTACTATGTTTATCAATCGCCGGTAAAACATTCTAGTTATTTGATATATCTTCGATCAGTTGCATACTGTATATTTTTTGTAGTAAGATTTATTTCGATGATCATATAATAAACGATTTCAATACACTGAGTAGTTTGCAGAAGTATAATAAGAATTTTTCATCAATATTGTATTACTGATTGTGGGTTCGTACTGTTTGACATTTCTCCTATATTTCTCGCAATTTCGTTCTTATTTTTAACATACTGTAATTTTTAATGATCATAATACGAGGCGCTCCATTTTGTTCGACGTAAAACAGAAAGATACTTAACCATAATGCTACTTGTACAAGATGTCTGCAATACATTATTCGTCGCAATCTTATAGTTTTTTTGACTTAATAGTGCATAATGTCAATATTGATGGATATTCAAGTTATGTCACATCCATAAAGTTTCTTTTCGGTACAGTTACAACATTCTAATGCATGACATTTTCTAGCGAGTTATCATTTAGAGTTTTTGTGGTAATTTGATTATTTAATACTCTTGAAGTACATGATTTATGTTTGACCCGTGCGTTGAAATCATATTTTTGAGAAGACTCAGTCAAACATCATATATGAATTCGAACGCATAAGCTTATTACGACGGAGTTTTAATAATGAAATGTGAAACTGATATCATTCGTGTAAGGTAACAAATAATCTGCTATATATTTATATACATGTCGTTGTCAACGATCAATGAGAGTAGATTGTAGCAAGCGAAATGAAAAGTGTTGATGCGTAATAAAAACATTGCTTTTTTTCGTATTCAGAAGCGACTATTTAACTAAAATTTTCTTCTGTTGGATCATCTGTCTCATATCTAAGGAAAACTGGGCCCATAACGATAGAAGAAATCGAAAATCCTCAATGAAAATGTACGCTTACATTTATTGATATATATGACTACGATAAAAACTACTAGATATCAGTGTAGTCGAATTATAATATAATGTTTGATAGATCTTCATTTATTTTTGAACTCGACAAATAGAAGAATTTAACAGTCATATCGTAAAAAATTACCGACGCAAGATTTGAAGTGAATAGAAAATTCATTATAATTATGCTTTTAATAGATTATATTATCATTTATTTATATTCATATTACTACAAAAAAATATCAAACTTTAAGAAATAGATATCTATACACATCGATATTTGGCGTGATCTTAGATACAATATTCTTAGATGAGAAATTCACGGACATATTCAAATTTTCCAATAGAAAATTATCCTCGCCTATTGAATTATTTACATACAAAAGATACAGAAGGTTAATAGAATTTGCTCTAAAAATAAAACAGAAACCGTTAATCTCTAAGCTGGCTTAAATATTGATTTATTGCAGACTGTCTATTAAGATAATCACACTTTTCTACATATTATTGTAATAATAATAAATAGACATATATTGACTATCATGCAATATTCGATATTTTTTAATGTTAATATTCAAAATGTAGTTTGATTCATACAGTACGAATACTATGAATTCTTTGAAAGAAACTATTCAATAAATTCACTGAAAATAATATCCTATTTTATTATGATCTCATCTTGCGTTCAACTTCATGAATCACATCTTCAATAAACAACTTTGACTTATATACGATAGTCAATAAAGAGAAACTATTCTTGGCGAAGAAACAATTACTTGTAATAACTGCCAAAAGCTTATAACCAGATTTTGATCGATTTAATCGTAACTTGATTTTTATAAATGCCTCCGTTATTTAAAAGATTAATGGTTCTACGCACAGCTGTATGATATTCATTACTAATGAAGAGGATAGTAAAGTGGCCTCGAAGAAACAAATATCGTACAATGCTTAAAATAAAAATTTGTACAAATTTGATGTGTTCATTGATTGATCTTTCTATGTATTGTTGAATTGAAAATATATGTTTTGAATAAAAGCCATGTACTTCTGTCATAATATCATCTGGTAGAATGCAAGCAATAATTATAGGCAGATAACAGGTGGCAATTTGTTGAAGTATACGAAAGGAAAAAAGTCATATTTGTGTTGATAAAATGCAATGTGACAAACTATGGTGTAAAAATCAATTTTTATTGCAAAGAAGAAATAACATGACTCAAAGTATGTCAAAATATCATTATTCAAAATGTATTATTAATCGATGTGCTATTATCACACATATTTTCAGATCAATCAAATATATAACTGCTGCAAGCTTATAGCATGTTATTTAGACAATTTTCTAGAATACGCATATTCTGTGATTGCTATATTGATAATCGATATCTCATACTGACGCCCGCGTCAACATTCATGCATACATATATACAAGAAGACAAGCGTTCTCCATTTCATAGATAGAAAGATTCACATATACATACACACTGACAAATAACATTATGCGTGCTTATCACTACTGTTTGTGTCTTTTGGTATTCGTTGTTATCACCAAGTGAGCTAAATATTATTGAAAATATTATTTTATCTCACCTCTTGAACTTATCTAGTGCAAGACACATTGAACAAGCATCTAACAATGATTCAGACGAAGATGCATATGTTCCAAATAAGTATCATAGACCTCATGTTTATCGATCGAATTTTCTCGAACATTATTTACTTAACTTGATCGCTGGCAAAGGTCATGACGACGATCGTTATGATCAAACAGGGCCATTTGAAAGGCGAAGCAAAGCTATTACAAAAGGTGATCCGCGAGAATTTATGGGCTAAACATGTAGTTTTTATTGTAAACGCTTTTATTTCCTACCTATTTCAAATAAATAAATATTTAATCGATGAATACATATAAATAAGTTTATAGTAATTAAATACTGACTAATAGTAAATATTTACTTCTTATAGAGAAAAGAGAATTGATTGTCAGATTTTCAAATAATCCACTCATTGCCCTTATTTACACTTGTTCTTCTCTCTGCCAGAATAAAATATAAGAATAGATTTGTCCTAATTGATTTATCATCTTACGTCCATTCATGCTCTACCCTAGTCAAACATTTTTATTCATGCGCTTGTAAGACTTGAGCTCAAGATGTGGCCATAGTTCTTGACTTCTTGCTCAAGAAAGTCAAGAATTGCATGCGCTTGCAAAAAATGCTATGACTCGGGTAGCTCTTTGCCACAATTAACATAATTAGTAGTTTGTTATTATAACCTTTTGTTTGATGATTCATGTCTTTTCGTATTTCAATACTAACACTACATTCGTATAATTGATAAATCATAGATGTTCTCTTATGAAGTATTTTAAAATCTTCTTAGATTGAAGTATGTAATCATTTGTGATTCGTATCGAAGTGGCAAAATCAAAAGATAGATAAAAAAAAGAAACTGAATGATTCGAACTCTTTGATATTATCTTAGATCTTTTCTTTTTCTAGAAATATCAAATTATTTCATTCTATTAATTGGATATAAGCCATGACAGCGAATATTTAAGTATTTAACAGTTTTTTTGTCATTTAGTCCATCTGTCTATAGTAAGAACTTAGAATTTATTGTATTCTCGATAATATTAACTGTGTTATTATTGTACGATCTGTTTTAAATCGAAATCTAGCTGTCTGTATGAATCAATTGATAGACATCCAACACTAACAAATAGTCAAATATATATAAAGCATAGATGTACATCGCAGCGCTGCCGCTGTCGCTGCCGCCACAGCGTTAGCGGTACCTTTTCCAAAATCTCTTCGCGGTAGCGACAAATTATTTTTTTCAGCCATGGCGGTGCGGCGCGGCAGCAGCAGATTTTCACTCGTGATGAAAATCTCTAGACCCTCTAAAAAGAATGAATCTACTGTTTTTCGAAAGAATTTTTGCTATTTCTCATCTCTTTTTACATTAGCATTTCATCAAACAGGAATTATTAACCCTATCCCAGGCCGTAGAGGTACGGTGGGAAACGGCCGGAAAGCACGGGAAATCGCTGGAAAGGGACGAATTTTTTTCCGGTGTATTCCGGTCAGTTTTCTGTGCTTTCGAGGTATGTTCAGATTTCCGAAAAAGTAAATTTCCGAAAATACCGAATTTCTAACAAAATATCGAAAGACACACAACTGTCCCAACAGAAATTTCCTTGTAATTTCCGAAATCGCCATTAACTGAAAAAGTAAATTCTCAGAAATTACCATATTTTAACATACCAACCAACAGAACATCTAGGGAATGTCAGAAATCAGCTCTACAATCCAAAAGAAATTACGGTAAATACGGAAATTTCCACACTTTATATCATGTACATACACTGGTATATGTTTAGATTTGAAGGCCCACCCTCAAAAATGAGAAGAAATTCTAGTAATTTCCGTAATTACCTGGAAATTACTAGAATTTCTTCTCATTTTTGACGGTGGGCCTTCAAATTTGTACACATATAACAGTGAATGTACATGATATAAACTATGGAAATTTCTGTAATTGCCGTAATTTCCAGGTAATTACCGAAATTACCAGAATTTCTTCTCATTCTTGAGGGTGGGCCTTCAAATCTAAAGATATACCAGTGTATGTACATGAGATTAACCATGGAAATTTCCGTAATTACCGTAATTTCCAAGTAATTTGCGTTAGTGTGTTTTGTAGATTTGTGTAGTTTTCGTTGGGATGTAGTTGGAATTGTAGTAATTTCTTTGGAAGTTTCGAGCTCGGAGTAGTTCAGTATGGAAGTTTTGTGATTATGTTGCTATTCATTATGGGTAATTTCCGAAATTTCTAAGAAATTACTCCATCACTGTGTTTGCTGGCGTTGCGTAGTATTTCGGTTACTTCGGAAGTTTCCGGTATTTTCTAAAAGATGAATTTTTCATGTTTGTAGTTTCCGAAAGATGTATTTTTAGCTAGGAAATTTCCTTTTTCGGAAATCTGCCCACTGCTGCTTTCCGGCCAGATACGGTGATTTTTCCGCATCTTTCCGGTCGGTTCCTACGGTATCCGTCCTCCAGAATCATTGACCTGGGATATCATACATATTACCTATTTTTGTGAAAAAATAGATTTTGTATAATTTTTAATGAAGCGGCGCGGCAGTGACTTTGTTCTTTATATGTGGCGTCGCGGTAGCGGCAGATTTCCACCCGCGATGGACATCTATGATATAAAACTATTCATCCAGTAACAATGGACTATCAACGTCGGATATTATTCGCTTCGTTTGATATTGTGTATTGAAGTAAACGATAACGATGACTTCAGAATGGCAATATACTTTTGCAGACGACTGAAGGCAACAGTTAAGATCAGATCTTGAATAGAAAAGACATAAACTAATATAGACAGTTACAGCAGAACATAATTGTAAAAAAGATAAAGTCAATTATTGATGTTTGATTCAAGTCGAATGGCTATCGCAGTATAAAACTAGGAGCTCTGGTTAGTCTTTTGAGAGCACAAATGTTAATCTCAATTCGATTACTAACGAGGTGTGCGAATGTTTTGAGATAAAATGTTTGTTCATTTTTGATCTGCTTGAAATTATTTTCGGTGAGTCAAAATCTATGCGCTAGAACCAGAATTTTGTGCTCTTTCGGATTATGGACTTAGAAATTTTGTGTCGGTCTTTGTTCGAGAGTAGCCAAGGAATTTTTGAAAGGTCTTAACAATTAGTTTGGACGCTGAACAAACAGGTTTTGCTAACCCCTGTAAGTCCCTTTGCGAATATGCTAAAAATTGTCGGATTTGATAGTTTTGTAAAGTGAACAATTCTCTACAAAATGTGGTATTGAACTAAGCTGTAACATTTACACAAGGGAAGCTATACGCATTTTTCTAAGATCTCCTTTTCACTTAAAACGGTTTTGGTCAAAAACCCAATTTTTCAAAAATGGCGATGTAGGGGACACGAAAATTCAAGTGCTCTACCGACAGACAAAAGAAAACTCAAATAGCACATTTTATAGGGTAGATTTTGCTCTACAAGTTGGTATCATAATAAAGGTTCCAAATTTTAGTTTCGGATCATAACAGTGAAAATATAAAAGTGCGCGGAAAAAATTTCTGTCCAAACTAATTTTTTGGACCTTTCAAAGATTAACTTACTACTCTCGAACAAAAGCCGACACAAAATTTCTAAGTACATATTCCGAAAGAGCATAAAATTCTGGTTCTAACACGTAGAGTTTGACTCGTCAAAAATAATTTCAAGTGAATAAAAAATCAACAAACATTTTGTCTAAAAACTTTCGCACACCCCGTTATTCTAAAAATATATTCAGGCGTTTGATCTAGTTGATATTCTGTAATTGACATGAGTTATCTGATCCGATGCATGTTTCGTGAAATTTAGATTTATAATCTCAAAGTATTCAATTTCATTTATATCAATGGGTCTACATATACAAAAAAGAAAAGAACAACAAAGGTATCACTTTCTTGTACAAAATAAAATTAATAAATAATAGTCGCTTCATTGCATTTTATTTTAAAATTAATCTCAGAAAGATTTCGCATTGTTTAACAATAACTTTCGTATTAAGCTCTTCCTTTGTTAGAAGTGAATAGAATTATTCTGTTGACTGGGTGATTCCAGCTTTATCAGAGTCTTTTTTTATTATGGCTAGGGCCAAATTAGAATGCATATATGCGTTATTTATCATATATTAATCTTCTAACAAATTTTTTCAGATCTTACCACATAAACCTCGTCAACAAAGAAAACATTCCTAGTATTGAGACTCCTCAGTGCAAAAGAAACAATATTCTTTAAAGAAAAAAATCAGCCAAAAATGTAAATGTAACCAATTTTAAAAGCAGATTCTATTAATTGAGAGTCTAGAACAACTCTTTCTGTAATAATTGAGATATATCTACATCGAGTGTTTCAAAATTTTCGATTGAACCGTTATTCAAAAGTCAAAGAAAAATAAGATGATGAACTTGAAAAACTAAACTCCCTGTTCGATGAAGTGAGGTTTGAAAAAGACATGGTTGCAAGATTTTGACTAAAACCTTAGATCGCTAGGTCGACAACACAGCACCCATCAACTTTGTTAATCAATACCTTATATGCTACCATTTTGATTACAATAAAAACAATCCTTAATATTCAAGTGATCATCACTCTTAGATATCCTTTCGAATATAATTTAATTAATTGGTAACACACTGAAATAATGATTGAATTGAATGAGTAATGAAATACTATAAAAATAATGATTTCAGTAGCGATATGCATTATCCTTTTTTGCCATCCGCTTTTTTCGTCAATCGCTTCAATAACTGATAAGCGATTGAGTATCAATATCAGTTGTAGATAAAATTATATCAAATACAATAAAATCAGGATAACTTTTTGATTATCAATCGTTAGCTTTGCTTTTATTATTTGTAACGAACTTATATTATTTATTTGTGTAATAGTAGCTAGAAATCAATATAAAAATGAATCCTACAAGAATAAACATTAACAAAGCTTATTGCAATATTACGGAGAATATGCTACAGCAGCAGAAGAACCAATGGATCAATGATTTCAATCGATTTGAGACTTGTCTAATTATGGTTCATGATTCTGTCAGCATACTGTTCTCCTTCTGACATGAAATATATGAACTATTATTGACGTAGTTGAGTCGAACTATTTTCGAATTTCAGTTAAGTATCAAAATTTTACGTTTATTTTAACTGAAAACGATAGAATGACAACC